AACATTAAAAAAATTTTTAAATAATATTTTCCTAATTATTATTATTTTTATAAACGGTTGATCCGATTATAATTTTTAAAAATAATGCATCAGAAATTTTTTCTTGTAATGACTTACTTCTTTAAGCAAAGCCTGTTCTTCTGTGACACTTGGTTGGTCTTGTTGTTGTTGTTGTATATTTGGAGTAGTCTGTATATTTCCTGCATTAATTACTTGGGTTGAATTTGGTGTAATTGGTTGTGGCATTGGCAATGTATTTTGAGAAATAAGTTGTTGATTAGCTGGTCTTGGTTCTCTATAAGGTGTGTATGGGATTGGTGACTGTTGCATTAAATTTTGTCTTTTCGGAGCGGAGGATGAAGTTGTAGTTTTTCTCTTTTTATCATTATTAGTTGTAGACATTTTTTTAAGATTTACTAAATTTAAATAAATTATTAAATTACTTTAAAATTTATAATTTAAAAGAAAATTAACTTATATAAAAATTTAAAAGTTTAGAAAAATTTTTATTTGATTTACTAAATTACAAAATTTATAAAAATATTAAAGTAGTTTAAAATTTATAACTAAAAGCACGTTAATTTATATAAAAATTTAAAGTTTAGAATAATTTTTATAATAAGTAAAAAAGGCAATGACTATGTAATTTATGAGCTTAGTTTTAAATGGTAATGTTCAGTTTCTCTTTTGAAAGATCATTAAATTGATAGTAAAGCTAAATATGTCCCAGACAAATTTTATTTATATAAATTCCTAAGCCTTTTATTCTGATGTATTTTTAAGACAAAAGGTTTAGGAATTTATATAACTAAAATTTGTCGGGGACATATTTAGCTTTACTATCAATTTAATGATCTTTCAAAAGAGAAACTGAACATTACCATCTAAAAATTCTTTAGAAAAATTTTTAAAATTACATTCTGAATTTTTTATTAAAATTCATAAATTTAATTTATTTTTAATTTTACCGAAATTAAAGGAGCAGAAGCATTTTCATCAACAATCCCTTCTTTAGTTCCAGATTAAGCAGTAATAAGTTTCCTCCACGCTGAGAAAAAAATAAAATTTAAATAAAATCAGAGTAGACATGGGATTCTCAAAAAAATTCTACATATTTCCTCTTATAGTTTCTTAAAAAACATTTAAAAAAACTGTTGAATTAAATAATTATCCCAGTCAAAAATACAAACTTTAAAAAATTCATTGTTTACCTCACAGATTAAAGTAATAGCCTTTTCATTTTCAAAAAGTATATATTCTGTAAATCTGACTTTTGGAGTTCCATTTAAATATAATTGATGCTGCAACGTTTTTGAAGGAAAATCTTCCTCGGCAATACACTAAAATTAAAAATATTTTATTTGGATTGTAAACTCCAAAAAGCTACCTTAATTCTCCTTCCTCCAAATCTTGCGCATTTTTGATAGTTAAACTAAAGCAAGAAATTTCAGTTATTAAATTTTTTAGTTTTACACACTTTGCTCCTTTTTGAATTGGTTTCTCTTGTTCCTTTCCATGATACCAACGAATAATAGGCGGTTGATTGCCGAGAACCTAGAAAAATATATATATTATAATTTTAAACAACTTTGACCCGAACCCAGAAGGCTCACCACGGTAAACGCCGAAGCCCAACACTCTAACCCCCCGAATGCACGTGAGGTTTACCCTAATATAATATGCATTATAGGGACTTAATTTAACAGAAATACTATTAGGAAAAGAGGTATAAAGGATAATCATATTAGATGTTTTGACTTTTTATTTACCTCACATTTAAACGTTGTTTCAGAACCTCTCTCAATTATTTTAGATTGATTTGTAGACATAAAACGAGGTCCAACTGTAAATTTAAAAAGATTTCCTAAGAGTCAAAAATAAATAAACCTGCAAAGAACATTCTCTTCAAAAGCAGCACTTCCAAATTGCATTAGTTCTCGTAAAAGCAATTAATAAATGAATTGGAAAAGAATTTAAAATTGGTAATACAAGTAAATTATTTGTAAAACTTCCAGTTAACATTTTTAATAATTGAAGATTTTCTTCTTTTTCAGGAAAAATAAATTGTTGGGAATTTTCTTTTTCTATTTTCTTAGAAAATTTAAAAAATAATATTTAATTTTTGGAAAGTGAGAACCCTATAGACAATTTTAATTTAAAATAATTAACACCTGAACAATATAAAATTGACATTTTCCTTTACATTGAAGAGAAACTTCTATTGATATTTTACCCAAAGGATTTTCATTAGTTATTTTTCCTGTATGTAAAGGGGAAGAAAATCCATCTTTAAATTTAACTAAAAAGGAAATATTTTAATTTTAAATTTATTTAAATTTACTATTAATTTCCAAAGCAACACCCTTCATTCTAGTCGTAGCACTTTCCAATCTATTTCCATAAGATATCCAAGAAGGATTAACTGGACATTCATTTGGAAGTTCTTTTAAAAGAAAATTTTTAATTTTCAAAAATCTTTTTTTAAATACCTGCTGAAAGAAAATCACATTCTTTTTTTACATTCAATTTCTGAAGGAAGGGAATCCCAATTTGTTAAAAATATTCCATAATTTGGAATTAATCCAGAAGGACAAGGAACACATTTACCTTCTCCAGAAGAAATAGATCCTTTAGGACAATTTTCACAATAACCAGAATTATTTCTTTCCATTTCAGGCCCACAAGGCAAACATTTTTCTTTTTTATTAGGTAAAGTATTTAAAATTCCATTATCAATACAAATTTGGGGATTTAATTTTCTCCAAAATATTTTTAAATTTTCTTCACTTGAATTAACACGAGTTGATGGACAGACAGGGAAATAATCGAGAGAAGAACAAAATGGACGTTTTTGGCAAAATTCTGATCGAGGTTCTGAATAAATTATTTTAAATGTTTTTATTTACAAAAACACATAGTAGCTCTCTAATAATTACCAATTATCTTCCCCGTAATTTTTCCCCACATATTACAACCTAAAAGCCCAGAGGCAATTTCATCTAAAAACAATTTAAAAAAATACTTTTTTATAATTTAATTACAAGACGTTCTATCCCACAAGTAAATCCTTGTTCTCTAACCATTCCACACAGCTACTAAAATTAAAAAAGATAATTATTTGTAAAATATTAATAAATTAACCTTGAATTATTTAATGATGTTCAAGTCAACATCAAATCCAAAAATTTAGGTTATAGGTATACCCTATAATAAAAAAATTATTTAATATAAAAAATTAAAATTTAAAAGAAGTAAAAAAATTTTTATACTATTTTTATGACAAAAATAGTGAAAAAAATTAATAAAAAGGTTAGAGTTTGATAATGTAGTTGTTAGCAAAGAAAGTGAGAAAAAAGAATATAATGCCGCAAAATCAATAAAGTGGCGGCCATTATTGAGATTAGTTCGTGTAACTCGCTAGGGTGCGAACAATTTAGTGCGAGTCGTTTAAGTGCGAACGTGACCAGTTTAAAGCAGGCAATTCATAGCGAGTATTAGAGGGCGAACCTGTTAGTGTGGCCGTTTGAGAACAAGGTTTTAGTGTAGAAATTTGAGTGTGGTCGGTTTTGTGCCCAGAATCGCTCTCAGAATCACCTTCAGAATCGACATCAGAATCACCTTTAGAATCGACATCAGAATCGCCCTCACTTTACTTATCCCCCGTCCTACTCAATTCAAACCCCGCATCCTCCTATAGGCTTGGGTTTACAAATTATTGATCGATTAGAGCAAAATAAATTATCGATTGATTGCCCGCCGGCCCGACTCGACTCGGCCCCCGCTTAAGGCTTCGTTTGATACCCTTTGAAGCACCCTGAATCACTTTCCGATGCAACTTTACTTCTCCCACGACCTACTCCAATCAAACCCCGCAACGCCCAAAAGGATTGGGTTTGCAAATTATTGATTGATTAGAACAAGAGGGCCTGAAGAGACCAGTTCTTTGGGCAGAGAAAAAATTTTTTTCTCTGACTTCTCTCGCCCAATAATCGGTCTCTTCAGAGCCCTCTTGTTCTAATCAATCAATAATTTAATAGGGGTAATATTGTAGTGGCGATAATTTATCAATTATTATGACTGTATCCTAGCCTATCGCATGCCTTATAATTAAGCTTTTGAAAGTCGGATTTAGTCAATTCTGGCATACTTCGACATCTTGACGAGTCTCTTTTTACCCCTTAATTCGACTTTTTTTGGATATTTTTACCTTCAGTAAAAATTCTCGAGGTTGACTGGCCTATTTCCATTAATTAATATTTATTGAGTGGTCCTTCAATTTTTAAAAATCTAAAAAAAAGCTTCTTCCTTTTCTTCTCACGTTTCAAAAATTTTCTTTTTTCCCTCTATTTATATTTAAATTCTCCCACGTCTAAAAAATACCAGAGCTCTTCATTTATTTCCTTCCTTTTTTGAATTTTTAAAGTAAAAATACGTCTCTCGGCCAGTTAACTCTGACCACAAACTGGATAAAAAATTATTTTTATTTTTTGTTTGTGGTCAAATTTCTCTTTTAGAAAAATTAAATTCTGTTACAAAAATTATTAAAAATCCTCAATTATAATCCGTTTGTTTAAAAAAATATTTAATTACTACCTAGAATTACCTCAAAAAGGATTGGCGCAAAAATGCGCGATAAAATCTGTCAGAGGGGTAAATACACGCGTGTCAATATTAAATATACACAAATGGGATTTTTTACTTTTTTACTAATTCCTTTTATTTTTACATATTTTCTTTTTGAGATTAAAATTAAATCTGCTTAATATATAAAATTCTGTTTTTATATTTAGTGTTCCAATTAATTTATTTATTCTCCAACTTTGTTTTTCCTCCAAACATTTCTCACAACTTTTTTGTTCCCAAGTTTTTTCAACTTGTTTATTTCCCTCCAACATCCTCTCCCAACATTCAAACTTGTTGTGTTCTGTTTTTAACAGTGTTGTGTTTTGTTCATGTTTATCTAAACTTGTATATTTCTTTCCCAACATCTTTTACAACTTTTTTCTTCATGTTTTCCTCCAACTCGCCTCTTCCAACTTGTTTCTGCCATGTTTTTCTTTGTTTTAGTATTTTCTCTAATTTGTTCAAACATGTTGGAAGCAGACTTTCATGTTTTTATAATTTTCTTTATCATGTTTTTCCTCCAAGACTTTCTTACAATATCGTTTTTATTTTCTCTCCAAAACTTTTTAAAAATATCCGGATGCAATCTGATCTTTCCTTCCTTTTTATCTTTCTTTTGATCAACTTTTTTTATGTTTGTCGGCCTTTTACTTCAAAATAATTTTTGAAGAAAAACTGTCAATTCTTCTTTTAATTGACAAGCGGAAGATCATTCAACTAATTTTCTTGTTTCTTTACAAAAATTGTTGCAAATGTTGTAAATGAGGAAACAATGATTTTATGCTCGAATAATCAGAAATTTCAGAGGAAATCAGAATTTTAATAAAACCAGAATTCAAAGATTCAGAATTTCAGGCGTCAGGATTTTAGAGAAATCAGAATCCTCAGAACCAGAATTTGTTTAAAAAATCAGAATTTTTTTAAAATCAGAATTTTAAAAATCAGAAGAGAAAATCAGAATTTTAGAGGGAATCAGAATCTAAAAAAATCAGAATTCTAAAAACCAGAGATTTAAAAACCAGAATTTTTAGAAAATCAGAAATGTATAACCAAAAACAGAATTTTAAAAACCAGAATTTTAGAGAAAATAATTTATTTTTGCCCTTAAAACATTAAAATACAACAAATAAAAATTAAACAAATGGTCTGTCGCAACAAAAATAACCAAAATAAAACAACAAAAAATACTCTTAAAAGAGAATGGACAAAAGGATAAACTTAATTTCAATTTACATATTTAATGTCCAAAAAAATATTTTTATTATTATTTTTACTTCTAATTTTGTTTATTGTTGTCAATTCTTTTGACTCGCTTCAAATTCCTCAAATACAAAGGCATAGTGAAATGCTAGTTCCTTTAAATTCAACGACCGCTTTGCTTTGTGAACTTGTTTTTAACCAGGGAAGGCCTAATGAGGAGGCTAGATGGATTTTTGAAGGGAAGGAAGTGGCCAGAGTGAATGGGTAATTTTTCTTTAATAATCAGAACTATCAGAATTTACGAGAAAATCAGAATTTTCTGAGTCGGACTTCTCATTATAAAACACACCCCCCAACAACGGTTATCTCAGTTTAAGTTACTTTTCGGGGAATCTGCTTAAGCTTATTTAAAATACACACAATCTAAATATGAATTTTCCTAGCCCCAAGGGTGTACGAATAAAAAACGAAGTCCGACTAAGATTAATTTTAACAATTTTTTAAAAATAGTCAGAGCAATGCCTTCCTCAATATGCATCTCAATAACCCTTCCAACGCTTCATCAAAAGCAGATCCAATCCCAGAAATTGGCTTCTTAATAATTCAGAGGACTCTCAGAGAACATGAAGGAGATTATTGGTGTGAAAGATTAAGCGATGGACTGTTAGGGGAAAGAACTCGTCTCAGAGTAGCCTTTCTCAAACAGTTTGCCCCTGGAAATGGGCCAGTAATCGTAGGTGGAGGATCAACTAGAGAGGAAGGACAACTTGTAGTATTGGACTGTCCTAAGACTTTTGGAGTTCCTCCACCAATAATTAATTGGAAATTGGTAGGGTTTTTAATTTTTTTTTTGAAAATTTCAAAAAAAATTTTTAATTTCAAAGAATGGAGAGCGTTTAATAGACTTCCTCTCATTAAATATGGAAATTGCTCCAAACGGTTCACTTCTTCTCCACAACTTTTCTTCTTTACAAAGCGGCTTTTACACTTGCGAGGCTGTCAATTTTGTTGCCAAAACTCTTTCCGAACCCCTTTTTCTTGGACCGCCGCAAAGACGACCTTTGGAATCTCAAATTGCCAATAATAATTTTGTTAATTGCCTTAGTGTTTATGTGCGCAGTGGTGTTCTTTGGTTTTTAGTTGGGTGTTTGGCTACTAGGTACCAATTTAGAATTTGTAAAAAACCTCAGTATAAGGTACTCTTAATTCAATTTAAGGCTGGGTGGGGAAAGCTGCCCACATAATACTCCCTATTTAATATACCCCTCATTATAAGGTACACGTTTTTAGACCTGAGGGGATATCTGTCAACCTCATTATAGGAGACCACCATTACTCAAGCTAAGGCTGGGTAGGGAGTTGCCCATATATACCTTCTATTTAACATACACCCCATTATAAGGTACGGGGTTATTTCTATCCCACGGAGATTTTTTTTCAATTTTCAGTTGTATGGTTCTAGCCTATATCTTGGGGGCATTATTCCTCTACCGCCTTTATTCTTCCAATGAACAAAATCACAGACTAAGAAGATGGCCATGTTGCCCGTTTCTAAGCACCTCTGGCTTCAGAAAGGTTATAGCGCCAATGGACACTGAAAGAATTTTTGTTCCTCCTCCACCTTGTTATGAGGAATCTGTTTAAATAATTTTTTATTTTTTCTCTTAGAGCTTCTCTAAAATAAATTTTTGTTTTTTAATTAATTTTTATCCAAAAAAAATTTTTTTACTATAAAAAATTTAAAAATTTATTTAATTTCTTATCTATTATTTTTGCTAATAAGAGGACTATTTTCTTCACATTCCAATAAATATTGATAATTCCTTTTGTAAGACCGGCAAGAAAGAAATACAGAAAGTAATGAAGCCATTAATAATACAACAAGTAAAAGTAGAGCAGCTAATTGGGAAAAATCGGAATTTAATTTTAAATCAGAATTTTTAAGGAAATCAGAACTGTTTCAAAATCAGAATTTAAAAGCCAGAATTTCAGAAAAAACATAATTTTAGAAAAAATCAGAATTTCCAGAAAAAATCAGAATTAAATAAAATTTACCCGCAACAGGTCCATACGTTCCACATTGATAATCCAAAAGTTCTGACCCCAAACATTGTCGTATCCACTGGGCACTGGTCACGCGTCTTCCGAGATTACGAAATTTTGAAAGAGGACAAGGATTTTGACAATTTTCGATTTTTAATGTTTCTGTTGTTGCATTTAGTCCATTACGAAATTTCACCTTTAAAAATTTTTTTTGAAATTTTTTAAAAAATTCTCAAACTTCCACAAAATATTCTTCCCCATCAGAACTTGTATTGCTGTGTAATTCAAATACCAAAAAGCTGGCATAATCCGAAAGGATTGAGTTGATGTGTTTAATGCCCATAAAGCGGCCAATTGTTAAAATGTTTGTGTCGTGCTGAAAAGAGAAAATTAACAATTTTTTAAAAATTTTGATAGTCAGGTCTACCGAGCGATACCCTCTATTTAAGGTAACCTCATTATAAGCAAAGACTTTTTCAACCCCATTGAGGGCATCTTATAATAAGGTCTGACTGGTAACTGAATAAAAATTAGAAATCAAAACAGAATTCTTAAAACCAGAATTTAAAAAAAATCCAGAATTTCAAAACAGAAATTAAAAAAATTATAAACTAACCGCTGAGTACAACATCGATTTTTGATCATTCCTCTTCCCAACAGCGTCATCCATCCTTCCCAAAATTTGATCAAAATGCCATCCTCCCATACTCTCCAAAAATAAATCGATTAGGCCAATATGAAGGGATAAATGTTTTTTCCTCCTTTCTTCCAAATATTTTGAAGAGTTAGCCCAAGCAGGCAAAGGAAGAAGTTGGGGCAGTTTTGACTAAAAATGAAAAAAAAATCTGGGTTCAACCACGAAGATATACACCTTAAAGACCTATTGACCCTGAAGACCTGCAAATTTTAAAAGAGAATATCGAAGCATTTCGAGGGATTAAGAGGAATAAATACTCACTTTATGGAGCAGTATTGTGTGTACCATAACCATGGGCGAGTAGAATTTCTATTTCCTTTAATCACCCAAAACCCATCGATATCCCCTTTAAGGAGTTGTATGTAAATCTTCAGGGTCAATAGGTCTTCAGGGGTGGACTATTTTTAAGTAAAAAATAAACCCTTGTAACGATGCTATCCAACACTCGTTGAAGTATAAAAATTCCATCAATCTTCATTTGCGTGTCTTTTTCCATTTTTTCAATTTCCTCTTTAAATAGCCCCTCCAACCTCTTATATCCTTCACCTTCTTTTAAATTCCTCTCTCCTTCAGGGCAATGGTCGAACATCCCGAAAGATTGATGGTCCAAAATTTCAACAGTTTCGATTGGTATTGGCTGCCACAAAAGCTGGTTGTTCCAAATTTGTTCGTTTAAAGGAGGGAATAGGCCGGCAAGTAATAACTGAGCGCTTGTCAATGTTCGGTTGTCTCGGCCACTTTTGATGTTTATCTAAAAAAAATTCTTTTTGAAAATTGTTAAGTTAGTTTAGCCCTGGGCAGGCACCTAGCCCAGAGCAGGACTTGAGTCGGCATCCTGGCAGTTATAGCCAAGCGCTTCCGGTCATCAAGGTGCTCAAACGCTTTTTTTCCAAGCTAATTTCTTGCCGATGGGACGGGTTGAATGAAAAGTTAGGTTGGATTCTGAAAATCTTCGGAACGGGTCGAAAAAAGGTTGGGTTTCGAGTAACCAGTCCCATCTCTGGCGCTTTACCAAGTGGCTATCATGATACACCTCGTTTAAAAGATCTTAAACCCACGTCTACTTAAATGCTAACCAGTTGGATTTTCTCTCCCTTACAATCGGAACTTTTATTTATTTTTAAAATCAAACCTCTCTAGGATGGTACATTTCACCCAAAAAATCGCCATAAAATGTTTTCAAAAGCTTTCCAAGCTGATATTCTTGCCTCATCCCTTCAATAGTTAATTCACCTCTCTCCAATTTTTGAACAATTTTGGGAGGTTTTCCTTCGCTAGGAAAAGTTAAAAAACTTGTGGGTAGACGCTGTCCATGTCGGAAAATCTGTTAAAAAATTTTTTAAAATTAAAAAAAAATTTTAATTAACCAATTGGATATGTTTCAAAATACAATTACAAAATGAAAGGTTTAGTAGAAGGATTATAAGGGGGTGAAAAATAAAAAATAATAATTTCATTTTTACAATAAAAAATATTTTTTTGGTTAAAATTATGGAAAAGTTAAGAGCCAAAAAACCCAAAAAAGATAAGAAAAGGCAAAAAAGATAAGAATATAAAGATCGATAAAACATACGTACTTCACCCATCTTGCAGGAAAAAATTTGCTGCTCAAGTGGAAGGTTAGAAAATTTCTTCACCAATAGGTGTTTGAGGTCCGACATAAAAAATTAACACCTTGTCCACCCGCCATAAAAATTAAAAATAAATTCGTACCCATCTTATCATTTTTAATGTTAACTGGAGGAGAATGTCTGTCAAAACCCCCAACGATACACCTCAAAAAATTAAAAAAAATTTCCTTTTTAAAATTAATTTTTTTAAAATCAAAACCTCATCAGCAGAATTAACAATTCTTCAACATCCATTTCCTTTTTTTGAACTATTCCATTTTTCACTTCATTCTCGAATCTTTCTCCCAACATTTTCATCAACTTTCTTGTGGAGATCTAGACTTCTTTTAAAGCCTCTGTCCCTTCTTTTTTCACCTTCTTTAAAACATTGTTGTTGCTCGTTTCTTTCACTGTAAGAATCTCGAAAAAATTTTTGGAAATTGGCATCTCTAAAAAATAATTTTTAATAACAAAATTTAAAATAAAAATAATTAAGAAATATGTAATCACAAATTATAACTTTTTTTAAAAAAAGGAAAAATTAAAAATATGTTTATCAAAAAAGTTTGCAAATCTTTTAATAAAATAAACGAAAAAAAAACAAATTACCTAACAAGTCTATAAATTAATTAATAATCTCTCAATTACAACTTCAACATCATCCCGGCCTTCATATTCTTCAATCGATATAAAAAATGTAATTCTTGGATCGTGTTTATTGAAAAGTTTAAATTCTGTTGTTTTACCATAGGTGTAAATAAAAATGTTATAATCTTCTGCTTCTTCTACTCTTTTACTTGAAATTCGAGGTCCACGCATATAATCAAATTTAATTTTCTTCACCATTTTAGAAAAATCTTGTGATGCTTCTAATATTTGCTAAAATCGAATCGATTAAATTTTTTAAATAAAATTCAAAGTTTTTAAAAATTTCTCATAGTCATTGTTTCCCTTGACCAATTTTAATGTCATTTTATTTTGAATAAAGAAAGGATCAGTATAGTGTGGTTGGCCTAGTTGTGGTTGCAAATAAATATATTTTGAGCCTTAACAATTTTTATTAAAAACAGAATAAAATTTTTCCCGGATCCATAATCGATATGCCCCTAATTTATTTTAATAATAATTTACAAACCTCCATAATAAAATTGTAAAATTTAGAATCAATAAATGAACAAGTAATCGTGGAAAATTTGCTTTCTCCTCCATTCACCACAATTTTGAATAAAACGTCCAAATTTTTTTCCAAATCATATACTATTCCACATCCAATATCCAATCTAAATTCATTAGAAATCAGATGATTCAAAACAAAGTCGAAAACATGATTCTCGTAAAGAATTAGATCGACTTGTTGTGAATGTATTTGTAAAGGCATATTTGTTTTATCTTCATCAAACAATAATTGGATCATTTGTGGATTAATTACAGTAAAATCAAGCTCAAAAATTGTGAAAACACAGTTGAAAAGTAGTTGGAATAAAGAACGAGCAATTTTCATATCCTCTATACTTTTTGGAATCCATGGCAATTCCGAATAGTATAAATCTAAATAAAATTTTGGTAATTAAAAAATAATTTTTAGTCAATGATTGAGGGCCTTCTGAATAAAAGTGAACATTTTCTTTTAGTTAAACTTGGAATTTTTTTATATGTAAGAGACCAAAAAATTACCCAATTTATACGACACCTTTAAAATTCATGCTAACAATAAATTATCAGTTTCTGAAAATATTTTTAATTATTATTTCAAGTTTAAATAGAAAAACGGACTAATTGACCGAGAATAGTCAAGTTGTTCTATTAATTTTTTTTTGATTCTTTCCATTAAATTTTTGCCATATTTTGAGATTTTTCGTCAATATTTTTACTAGCCCTATTTACGACCATAACTCCCTGAATACTTAACCGAAAATTCCGAAATCTATTTAAAAAAACACAATGCTAAAAATTTATATTAAAGGCTCACTATTATCTTGTCTAAATTCACAAACAACGGTTTCCATGTCTGTAAATTCAGTCATTGTTAAAAACATTGGAATTGACTCTTCTATTCCACGTTTCCACTAAGATTTGAGATTATTTAAAAAACGTCAATTTCTTAAAACCTTTTCCTCAAGCTGCTTGCTCAATTGGAAATCATTAGGTTCTAGTTCAACCAATTCGTGTCCATCAAATATAAAGCAACTATCAGGCACCTAAAAATAATCACATTATTAAAACAATTTATAAACAAATACAAAATAAAGGTATTCAAATTTCTTTCTTGCCAATTCTTTCCCATATTTGTCAATAAAATTTTTGAAATAAAAATTTGTTTGTTGAACAGCCAATAATTGAACAAAGTTGAGAAATTTGAATATATCAAGTAAAATTTCTGGTTGAAGGTTTATTTTGGGGGTTTTAGTTTTAATGTCAGCAGGCACTTTGTCTTCTCGAATTGGAACCAAAAGATACCATTGACCTTCCTAAAAGATTTATTTTTTGTCTTTTGATTTAAAATTAAATTAAAACCTCTTTAAAATACTTGGCACCCTCGTATTCAATAATTTTTCGATCCTCGCTCATTATTGTAAAATAATTTAATTAAAGTAAATTGAAATTTTAGTCTAAAAATTAGTAATGGAAGTATTTGGGGTAATGAAAGTATATTAATTCGATTCAACATTTTTAGGGACAGCTTTTAAAGCTGTATCTCCAAATTTGTCCTCTTTTTCTCATTTTTAATTTTAATTTCAAATCTATAAATAAATAAAGAATTCTCATAAAAATGCGCGAGATAAATAAAATAAAAAGAAAAAAAGGAAATTAAATGGCAAGGTCAAAAAGTCTTTTAAAATGTTACTAGAAAGGAGAAGAGTAAATTAATAATAAACCAAAAAAGATGAGATCAGCGCCGTTACGGGAAATTTTATTTTTACGAAAAAGGAAGTCTTCTAGTCAACCTAAAATTAGTTCTTACTTTTTTCCAAATACTATATTTTTAATTAGTCAATAGCCTCCTTTTATTATTTAAAAAATTAAATTTTTTAATTAAAAAAAATTTTTTTGGCCCTTATATTTATTTAAAAGATCCCCTCGCTACGGCACGAGAAAAATGTATGCCTTCCTTTAGAAAGAGTTTACCTACAGTTTAGCCACCGGTTAGGATTCGAACCTGCGACCTCCTGACAGATATTGCTAGGTGGTTTCGCTCAATACATACAGGGGCTCTACCACTGATTTCCAAGTCGTCGACATATGCTTTCTCTTTTATTTCTTAGAGAAAGCATATGTCGCTTAACCCCCCTCCTCCCCCGAAGCGTTTTAAATGCTCTAAGTGAATCATCCTTCCATTGTCTACCAGAAATTAATTTTATTAATTTTTTATTTTAAATTTTCCCCTTAATTTATTTTAAATAGATACTAGCCTCTTCTTATTATTTAAAAATTAAATTTAAATTCACAAAAAAAATTTTTTCCCTCCCCTATATTCATTTTTAAAGGGTCACTTTCCTCCTTCTACCAGCCTTCTTCGGTCAGCCCCTCTCCCCTTATTTTTTTTATTTTTTTCCAAAAATTGGTTTTATACTCTCAATATTTATAAAAATAAATCCTCTGGACAGAGGCTCTCTTTCCCTTTTTTATTTTTCTTAATTAAACGGCCTCTCTCTCCGACACTTTTGGAGTATTATGTATGTGACAGCCGGAATGCCACAAACTAAAAATGGGATTGAGAAGTAAACTATAAGAGAATATTTTTATATTTGGGAATTTGGATTAATTTTTGGGAGTAACAAAAATAAACTGGGGAAGGAAAATTTTATTTTTTGAGCCTCTGGACGTTTGAGCTTTTTACGCCTACACTAAATATTTATTTATTTTTCCCTTAATTTTCTCCCAAATTTTTTTAAAAATTTTAATTTGACATTCATTTAGCTAGTAAATTTAATTTTTTACTTAGAAAAAAATTTATTTTTAAAAAATGTTACTCAATTCACGAGTTATTATCCTGGAATGAGTGTTTTTCATTTCCACTCTGTGTTTTTTGACCATATCTTTTTTCCAAATTTTTTTCAAATTTTAATTTAACTTTCATTAGGTAGTAAATTTAATTCTGAATCTAATGAAAAAAAATATTTTTTAAAATTTGGCTCGGTTCATGGGTTCTTAAGCTCGAAATGAATCGTCCACCTCAACTATAAACTTGTCTCGCTTGGAATTATTTTTAAATTTTTTTAATTTCCTCTTAAATTCAACTTTTAAAATTGCCAAAAAATGCCAAAAAAATTTCCCGTAGAGTAATTAACCAAAAAAGTGTTGAAAAATATTTTTGAGTGTTTGTGGCATTCTCTGAAAAAATTGGTCAGTTGAGAATAAAATTCTTTTATTTTTTACTTTTTAAATCCCCCTTTTATTTTCTGTTGCTGCCCAAGTATTATTTAACTTCTCCCTCCCTCGTATTTTTTATTTTTCCTTAAACCATAAAGTCGCGAGGGATTTGTTTTTATTTTTTCTTTTTTTGGCCATTTCGGCGCAGATAAATAAAAGGCGGGGATTTTTCTTAGCCTTTCTGCCCTTTAGACTTTTACTTTTTCCCCTCAAAAAATTTTTTTCTGCTGACCACTTTTGAGAAGAAAAATAAAGAAGTGTTTCCCCTTTATATGGCCTAAAACCAAAAAATTTTTTTATCGATTCAATTAGGCAGCAAACAAAACAACAACAACAATTCCCCCTTCTTATAGGGGAAAGAAATCTTTCTTTGGCATTTTTATTTTTAGTGGCCGCATTTTTGGGGTATTTTTGTGTGTTTTTAATTATGCAACCCTTCTCCCCTTTCAGTCCTTTGTAAAGCAAGAAAGGTCATTTTTGGCAAAATGTTTTTATTTTTACATATTTCTTACGCCAATAAAAATTTGCCCCAAGGCGCTATTAACTGACGTGGAATTTTCCAATTAAATTTTTTGTATTTTTTCGGCAGACCCTCATCTTTTTTCAACGCATTTTCTTAATTTCGGATGTATTTCCACCAACATTTTTAACAAAAATATTTTAATTTATCTTGCGCCGAAATCTACTCTGCGCCGAAATGACCCCCAAAAAGTGGGGCGTATTTACTATTTTCTCTTCTGTCGGTTATATGGCCATTTCGGCACAGACCCTTCACTAAATTAATTAAATTTTCTTTTCCAGATATTAATTAATGACAACAACAGAAGGGGAATTAATTAATTATAATGGAATCGATAGCGGTGTAGGGGGAAGTGGAGAATCTTCTGGCGATCAGAAAACTTCCCCGACAACCAAATCTATTTCAGAAATTAATCAAAATAATTTCAATAATTGGGCGTTTTCAACATCTGCTGCTTCCCCTTCCTCTTCTTTTTCTTCCCCTTCCACCGGAATGCTTGCCAATGTTGTGGGCTATGCCCGCTCTCGACTCTTTAAAAATGCCAACGATGGATTACTAATGCCTGGGGAAAAGGCTAGTTTTTAGTTAAAAAATGTGTTGGTCACTTTTGGCGTTGCGCCGAAACGACCGCAAAAATTATTAGGGAGCATTTAATTTCTCTTCTGTCCGGTTAAGGACGATTCAGTATCGCCGATTCAGTATATGGCCATAACTTTCCTGATATTCGACCGATTCGAATAATTCTTATATCATTCGAAAGGTCTCGAGATTCGACATCTTTTTAATAATTGGCCCGATCAGATCTGATGATCTCAAAAAAAGTTACAGCGTGAAAACCGATTTTTTATGCCTGTGACGTCGTTTATCAGTGATAACTTTTTGTAGAGTGATCAGATCAGGTCAGTCCAATTATGAAAAAGATGCAGCACCCCGAGGCCTATCAAATCATATATAATAATTCCTACAATATTGATCGAGCAAAAAGTTATGGCCAAAAAGCCCAAATACTGAATCGGCCAATACTGAATCGGCGATACTGAATTGGCGATACTGAATCGGCGATACTGAATCGTCCCCTACCCCTTCTGTCGGCTGTGGCCATTTCGGCGCAGAAAAAATAAAAAGCGGACATTTTCTTCAAAAAATGTTTTCCCACTCTTGAGGAAGTTTTAAAAGCCAAGGAGTGTTTTTGGCACTTTGTGTGGTCAATATACTAATAGTTAGGGGTTATATTGACTTTATTCCCTTACAATTTTAACTTCAACTTTTGTTTATTTTATCTATTTTTAAATCATTTAGTTAATGTAAACAAGCTAAAATCAATGTTTGTGCTAACATAAATAGCTTTACCACATTTTTTTTCTTTTGTAGATAGAGCAAAAGTTTTATTTTTAATTTTTGTACCGTCAACTAACTTTATTTTTTATTGAAAAAAATTTTTTTAAATTAAAAACCCGTTATTATATGCTCTCATTAGGCTTGAAAAATAGTACCTTCTAAGGAGGTGTACCCTATAAGGAGGTTACCTTATAAGGAATTTCTGGTTTGGGTGTATCTAAAATAGAGGCCTTCATACCTAATGGAAAAAATTTTTCTAAAGAAATTTTTTAAAGCTTTATTTTTCCATTTTAAAGGACGAGCAGACTTCATTTCACCATTCTTCTTTCACTTCTATTCCAACAAATTCAAAAGATTTAAATTTACAACAGCAAACTTTAGCCTTTGCGCAGCCTTTAAAAAATAAAGTTTTTGAAGAAGAAAAAAATAAAATTAAAAATAAAAGCTGTCCGGTACAAAGAAAACAATTATTTAGCTTAACTAATGAACAACTTAAAGAACAAAAAAATAAAAAATGTTTTTCTCAACCTTTTTGTAAAGGTAGGGGTAGGGGGAAGGGGAGGATTTTTATTTAATTTTGTTGTAACGATGTTAAGCGTTTTAGAAAAAAAAATTTCTTTCAAATTTGTATACCTTCTAATCACTTAATTAAATATACAAGACACTCTCTATTATATCCACAAATTTTTTAAAATTCAATGGTTACTGGATAGGTGTACGTAAATAATTGGCTGCGCCGAAACGTCCCTTAAATACATGGGGAAATTTGGTTTAAAAATTCTTGTAAAAATTCAAAAATTTTTTGAACTTTTTCTAAATTTATATACCTTATACTTTCAATTTTACGTACACCTCTGATTTATATACGCTCTCTATTATACCTACCGATTTTTGGAGACGATTAGCCACTGGGTAAGAGTGGGGCGTGGGGGCGGTTTGGAGGGGTGGGGGTGTCTGCTTAAGCAATAACCCCCAAGATTACGTACACCCCGGTTCTGGGCACACCTCTATTTTACGTACATTCTCTCATTTGAAAGCTCAAACTTTTTTTAATTTAAAAAATATTTAATTTCATCCTCTTTAGAACGCCTTTCCCCTTCCATCGGCTCTCGCGACAGTGTAATAATAGAAAATTCATTATCAAACAACAATTCAATATATTCATCTAAAACAAGTTTTTATAACGGAGATTATTGTAAATCCATAAACGAAAATAAAAAAGAAGAAGAATATTGGCAATTATTTGCTGTGTCTTTGCATAAAGTAGGTTGTTTTTAAAAAAATGCTTGATTGAAGGGATTTAAAGGGTTATAACTTTTTAATGGGTGAAGATATAATT